TAAGTTCCATTTTCGCAAATAAAAAAATAAATCAGAGACTATTCTGGTATTAATTCAAAATCGAAAATTCAGACGGAGCAAAAGTCATTTGAAATCTTCTTTGCTTTTCTAAACCAGCATTTGAAATTGGTTTGCTGCTTTAGATCGCTTTTTTGTAACGATTGATTCAACTACCTATCTTTATTTCTTCAGATCACGAAATTCTCAAACGGCCAATCTGTGACTCTGACAGGTCCTTCCTTAATACAGCAAGGTACTGACACAGTTTACACCTGTACTGGAGGAGCAGCGCCATATACCTTTATATGGGAAGATCGTTCAGTGATTCCAATTGTTAATATCTTCATTAATGGAAAAGCGGTTACCAATCCCTCTACTCATCCAAAATATGTCAACTTTGGTGTATCAGAAAATGAGGGTACATCTACTATGACAATCACTAATACTCTGGTAGAAGATGAAGGGCATTATAGATGTGTTGAACTTCCTGTAGGAACAGGAAACATTGAAGGTGCAGAACTAACAGTAGAAGGTGGGTCATAGAAAGTTTGAACAGTCTATTTTACTGAATGTTAATGTAGTTCCTGCCTTTGTAGCTTTTCATTAAAGTTAGTATTGTTTACCAGTACCTAAAAAGAGGATCCATGGACAGTAGATGTCAAGAAGGGATCTATTTGAAATTGCATTTTTAGACCTATTAATGTATCTAGAATGATAATAATGATAATGATATTAATAATAGTAATTATAATGATATTGATAATAAAAATAATAATAATAAGATGAATTGATGAAATCATTACACAAACAGATGACCCCAGATTTCTCGATGAAGTCCGGTTCCTCTTTTATCTATCTGTACATTATGTTGTGGAAAATTGATAAAAAATAGTTATAATAATAATAATAATAATAATAATAATAATAATAATAATAATAACAATCTTTATTCATATTGCGACGATTACAAAGTATTAGACGAAATAATTAGAGTAATGGTATTTCTGACAGTAATTTTGTACTATCACCTTTTACAACAACAATTATTTTGATTTGCAGTCAAATCGATACGGAACCTATCGGTAAAAACTATAACAGAGAGCAACATTGACGTGTTCGAAGCAATATGTGAAGCTTTAGGAGGTAGACCAGATGAAACAATCACATGGATGTTAGATGATGGGCCTTCACCTTGTGATGATACAAATGTAACGTACCCTGCAGCTGGAGAAGATCTGTCTAGTACGAGGAGTGTCTGCACATTTCAAGCTACTAGTGACAACAATGGTCAAACATTGAAATGTGTCATCACCGGTCATCAAGTATCTGATCTCAATGGAGAAAAAACAACTACTCTTAATATGCAAAGTAAGTTTGGTTACCCCTTTGCATATTTGAACATTTGTACTGAACAGAATAATTTGCTATAAAACAAAAGAGATCAACTATATCAAAATTGTTTGTATTAATTCATAGAAACGATTACTTTTACATGAGACCAGTATTGTCTGTTTGAAGCCAGACGAATGTTCATTTGATGTGAAATGATATGAGGTAAGACCTTTCTGGCTCCACACAGACAATGATGATAACTCTTCTTAGGATAACTTGGAATTATTCATCAATTTAGAAAACTTATTTGTTTCTCCTGATATACATGTCCCTGTATACCATAGATTGTGCAAAAGATTGTAAACCTTGAATATTTTAGTTTTTAATGCCAGATCGATAAGAGGGTACAAGTTCAGAGGTATTTTTTCACCCAACCCTCCCCTTCCCCCATCCTAAAAAGTACATCCCTATAAATGAGAAGATTACATTAGACATTGTAAAGCCAACAAGCTGAAAGATACATTATTAGCTCAAGTTTGCATCTCTCAGTGTCATTCTTAAATTGATTGTTGATTGTTTGTTTTCAGTAGTTTCATTCTTGTTTTAAGGTACATTTTTACTTGCATTTTTCTTTAAAGTTGCTATTAAACCAATGAATTCATATTTTTTCCCGATTAATTTTCGTAATAATTATAGTTATCCCATCCCTTTTTAAACGGGAATAGCTAATCGGTCGATTTTAGTCAATGAACATTGTTTTATAGCTTAATTAAAATATTGACATTGAGAGGGAGCTATTCAATATAAAAAGTTTATTATCTATTTCAACCGCGACAACGATCACTGAATACTGTAGGATCGCATAGGCTTTCAATATGTTCATTTGAAACAAATTCGGACTGAGCAAATATTGTGTACGGTGATTTAACTTGTGTCAAGTGAATATCGGGCCAATGAGGCTTCTTGATAACTACTTTACAATGTAAGGGGATTCAGCATGGGTTTGTCCGTGTAATGTATGCAAATGATTAATTCGCTCTCAATACGTCTTTCGTAATATTCAATTCAATTCTTATTTTGTTCACATCTCTAATAAAAACACATCAGAAGATGTCAGTAAAATCAGTATAAATAAAACAAACTAAAAATAAAAACATTCATTGACATGGCACAACGAAAGAAGGATAAAGGGTGGTGGATGCGAGGGATCAGCAAAGGCCGTTGGTCTGTCAAGGCTGATCCCTTATATTACCACCCTTCAAGTGAAATACATCATTTAAAAAAATATAAAAACAACAATCAAACAAACAGGTAATATAGCATACCATAATCACATCATAAAGCACAATATGACTATTTACATAAATCGCATAAAAGGCAATCAGATGAAATAAAACTATACTCCCTATTGAGAAGATACGATATATTTTTTTTTTCCTGAATGCGAAAACAGTTGGTATTTCTTTTAAAACATCTGGCAACCCATTCCAAATATAATCAAAATACTACAAGAAAATCCACTTATAGATTGTAATGTCAATTAGTATGAGTGGTTAGAAATGATAGTGCTTATACATGTAGATGAAGTTGTAATTAACTTGTTGATACAGTACGAAACGCATGATATACATCTATAACATTTAGATTACCGGTACTAGTTTTAGTTATTTCATTCTTTATTTTCTGTTTTTTAATACTACTAAATGCATCTTAAAAATATTCCAAGGCCATGTGCCCTGTTTTTAAGGTGCTCCGTTTTAACATGACGACTCAGAACGCTCAGGAAAAAAAGCCCAGTTTCCGTGCTGTATTGCGCAATAGCATATGACGTCACTGCAGCCGCCCTCTGGTGAAAAGGAGGGTGATTTAGGCATTAAAATGGCTTTACAAAAGCTAACTATGAAATTAATTGAAGAAAAAAAAAGACATTTATCCGAAAAAATATATGCACCAGTACATTTCTGGCAATTTCGTCATTCCTAATGCCAGAGTTTGATGTTTTTGTTTTGTTTTGTTTTTTTTTTTTTTGGGGGGGGGTGGGGGGAGGGGGGCACATACATGTAATTGATCGACGTCCTGGGGAGGGGTCTAACAAATTGTCAACCGATCTTGGAAATGTTTTTTTTTGGGGGGAGGGGGGCGCACGTGCCCCCCCCCCCCCCCCCCCCCCCCCGTGGCTACGTGCCTGCTTACAAGCATTAAGCTTACTTGTTTGTAATGATTCATTCCAACCAATGGCTTACTTATTTCTACTAAAGTTTTTATTTTTATTTTCATCTCTCCAATTTAAACAATGATGAATAGCTGAACAATACATTTTAGTCAGAGGAGGGAGATAATTGAATGTATGACTTTAATTCTTTTGATATTGCTTTATTCCATGTATGCCCGTGTTATGTCATATTATTGACTTCATAAACTAATATACAGGATTATACGGGTAAATATTTATCATGAATATACATAAAGAAGTAAATTTGATGTTGAATTTGTATCACACACCAGACCATTCTCCTTATCAACACTTTATATAAACGTAAATGGAAGAAGGGTAGACGTAGGGGGGATACAAGTTTCAGTTCACATTAAAATTTAGCAATTCGATTGGAGTGTAAACTCTAACTTTCTGTACAATCTTAACAATATAAGCAATTCATCACTTTAAGCTCCTGATAAATGAGCCATTGTAATAAACTATGCCATTATAAATTATTATATGTGATATAAAAATATCAGGAAGATCAATATCAAAGGATGTGTATTCATCCGAGCAATGTATATTGTTCCCTTGTTACTTCAGCAAATATTAACCTACCATGTATTTGTGAACACGGACCAGAGTCCAAAGTCTTGTTATTGCAATGGTTGAAGCGAGGCTTCATAGTATAGGTGAATACGCATACAGTATTGTTCCTCAATTTCGTCAAGAGGTTCCTCTTTTGATCGGAATGAATTCAATCGGGAATTCCCCTGATGATTTGTTTTATTCAGTGTCACTGTCGGTAGAATGTGAACTGATTTTTTAAATTTTTAGTATGTTTGTTTTGTATGGCTGAAACACGGTGGTTATTGTATTTTTTAAATTAAAGTTATTGGGTCTAAATTTGATTCTTTAAAATTGTTATATATCTATAGATACCTGTATGTTATAGTACTGGTATGTGATCTTACATTTGCTCCGGCAAATTGTTTTCCTTGTATTTGTTTCGTCAAATGTATAGGGTAAGGGTTGCAATTAGGTTTTAGGTAGGTTTTAGAGTATCAAGGTGAGGGTTAAGGTTGCGATTGTGTTTACGGTTAGGTTAAGAGTAAGGGTTAGGGTTAGGGTTGCGATTGGGTTTTAGATTAGGTTTAAAGTGAGGGTAAATGTTGGGGTTGCGATTTGGGTTTTAGGTTAGGTTTAGAGTGAGGGTAAGGGTTAGGGCTGCGATTGGGTTTTAGGTTAGGTTCAGGGTAAGAGTTACGGTTTAATTATAGTAATTAGTCTAGGGTTGAAGCAAATAATTCGGTTAGTGTATGAAATGGATCCGGAGCAAAAATCCCGTAAGAATGTGTCTTTTACTACCGCTGAGTGTTTGTAGAAAACTAATCACAGATTTCATGATTTCATCTAGAAGCTTGTGTATTTATATATTGTATGAAACATTGCTCATCATCCAGATCCTACACTATGCACCTGTGTGCCATGTGGTCTGAATTCTGGGGCTTCTGCAGGTATAGCTGTCTTAGCCATCCTGTTAGTGGCTTCTGTCATCATCAACATCATTCAATTCATCATGTTGAGAAGACATGAGACCAGACCAGGTGACTATATTCATCTTCTACTAGAATAGTTGAACGATGGAATCAGAACGATTATAAGATATGTAAATGTTTGTTTCATGATTGTTTATACCTGACTGTTAAATATCTATGTGTATGTTTGTAAATAAGCAACCGCAGGACTGACATCTTTAAGTACTCTTCAAGGGACTTTGAAACGAGGATAAATGCCTTACCAAAGGGCATGACAAAATTGAATTGGTATTGTTTAAAGAGTTTGAGAAAACATGATATCGGAAATTGATAGCGAAGGTATTTGTCTTTGGATATCATAACATCTATCATCTCCTGAATGTATTCCTCCATACCATATCAATACCTTAGGATAGAGATCCATTTACTTGAGACTAAATTTTACTTCCTTGTTGATAAATTTGCCATATTCCTATTTTCTACACAAAAAATATCCATTAAAGTTTCTATATTTGCTTCTTCCTCTTCTTTTTCTTTCTGCAGGTTTCGAAGAGTCATCGAAAACCGTTTCCAGGTTAGTATTTAGCAGTTCGAAATATTGAAGAGAATATAAATACTATATATCGATCTATAAATATTCATACAAACACCCTTCCCCTCACACACATTCTCACACACACCAATATTCGAATGTAGTGAAATACGAGAAACCTCTAAAGTTAAGCATGATATCATTATTCATGTGTTTACGTGTCAAATATGTTAAAAAGTAAAGTGAAACTTGAAATTGAATTGGTATGAAACTTTGCACATTCAAGGGGATTGAAAAGTAGTTAATTTGAAAGCAGAATGAAGACATATTTCGTAATGTAGAAAACGAAAATGTTACACAAAAACAGGTAAAACTGCAATAATACGAGTAATTGGAAATTAGTTCGATGAGATGGCTCTGACATGGCGCTGTACAATAGGCTAGGGCAGTGTCATTGATTAGGAGAGTTTGGACAACTTGGTTTCACTGGGTCACAACATGGCGTATATTCTTTTGTTTTGTGCTTGCCAAACAAGTAGTAGTAGCCATATTGCGTCCAAAACGAACCGGTTTGGTCAAACTCTGTATATAGATGGCTATGGGCTAGGGCAGAAAGGTCATTTTGTTCAGTATCGCTTTTTCACAGAGAAGAAAGACACGTATCTCATGAGGCAAACGACAACACGGCGTATGAGATGATTCAGAATGGAGATAGAGGTGAGAAAATCTGTAAAATCAGTCAGTAGTTTAAAATGAGAAAAGCGTTAGTTCCACGAAAATTAATCACATATCAAAAATTCACCCACAAAATAAAAAGGGTAGATAAATGGCTTTGTAAAATGCCATAAAAACGTTTAAAAATGTCCCACAACCACACAGATACTATTGTACTAAATGATAATCATTTCGTCCCAAACTGCCCAATACATTGTAACTATCAAGACTATTACTTTATTAATAAAAGTAGTAGTATATAATCCACAGGAAACATTATAAGCTTAATCATTCTCCCTGATCTGATTTGTGTTAGGCCTACTCATTTAACAGGGGTTTTAAAACTTATCTATAATAACAGCCGCTTTTTCAAATCGCAAATTCTCCTCGCTTTCCACACACACACAATTATAAGTTCATGGTGAATACTCTTTCACTTTCGTTTTATATTTGAAAGAAATCGAGAAAAGATTATCCAAGGGTAGCCTTATCCCTGTTTTAGAGTGTGAAAGATTGCTTGTATTTGATCTTTCAATTATTCGAATCGTTTTATTATTAATCTAATGTTTGTTTTTATAGCATACACATCTCTCAAACTCGGTCCATCCCACTCTCCCATCATTGCTCCTGAAAACGTGACGTTCTTCACCAGACTCGGTTCAATCGGACGCGGTGACTTCGGCGGGGTATGGAAGGGAGAACTCCGCTCGAATCAAAGCCAAGTAGACGTTGCTATCAGGCAGATTCCAGGTGAGGTCTTGCCAACCACTCCCTAAACAAAATAATGAGTTAAAAAGACCGACAAGCAAATCGCTTAATCGCCTAAAATGAGACGTTTATTTATCATCATAAATAGAGATGCCTTAATTTACCTTTCTATAAAGTTGAATTTCAGTGTGACCAAAACAAGCGTATAAAGTAACACATCGCTTCAAAAGTAAACAATGTATATAATAATATATCTAGATCAAACGATTCAATTTAAGATAATCCTCCGTCATGGCAATATAAAAATATAAAAAATAAAAAATTTAAACAGTTGAAATACAAATTCTTGAGAGTTCATTTATTCACTTTTAGTTCAATTGTTTTATTTAGTATATTTATATATTGTTATGTTTGGGGATCGGTTTTTAGATGAGGAATATAATGGATGTATTTTTTGGCAGAGTTCAGCAACTCTCAATACAATTAAATTGTTTAGCATGGAGATTAAAAAAATATGTGTTCGCCGGTTCATGGTTAAAATTCAAGTCTCCTGATTAGAAAAAAATTACTATCAGGAAAGTTTTGGAGAGTGAAACAAAGTTGGATGGGTGACTTAATCATACTTCTGATTGGTCTTTGGTCAACTGTCTATCGGGGTTACTATGGTATTATGGGGAGTGGTAATGGATAGTTTAAGTGACTAGGATAGGGCCTTTGAGTTGCTTGAAGTTATATATATATATATATATATGTGTTATTTAGTAATTTTATTGACACTCTGCCGAAGAATATCATTTTTGACGATACCCCTTTGGAAGTTGTTTCTTTCATTACATTTTTAGGCTTAACTGTTGATAACAAACTTTCGTGGAAATACCATATAGATAATACATGTAAGATCATTTAACGGAATATTGGCATAATAAATAAACTTAAATTTCATTTTCCGACATCATCCCTAATCATGCTTTATTCATCTTTAATTTTACCATATCTGAATTATGGGATACTTACTTGGGGCAACACGCAGCAAACTCTACTAAATAGACTGTTATTATTACAAAAGAAGTCTCTCCGTATTATTTACCATTCTGCTCCACTCTCACACACAGACCCGTTATTTGTTAATGGCAGACCATTAAAAACAAATGACCTGTATCTACTTCACTTAGGACAATATATGTATAAGTATTCAAGAAAGACCCTTCCACATATATTTGATGCCATGTTCCCCCTAAATCGTTTATTTCATGATTACCCAACTAGACGGTCAAACGAGTTTCACCTACCGCTCTTTAGAACTTTATTAGCGAAGAAGTCTTTTATGTATGATGGTCCTAGATTTTGGAATTCTCTAAGTGATGGTATTAAAAATAGTCCATCCCTAAATTCTTTAACTCATATCCTGCCATGAGACTGCTAGCGCGCTATTGTTATAGTGCTCTGTGCATGCGAGCGCGCTATCGATTGTTCATGCTAGCGAGCCACCGCTACTCTGCTTTGTGCACGCAAGGGCGCATATGTAATAACAGTCATTGTTCATGCCCATTGCACCGTGCTGAGTACTTTTGCAGCGCTATTGAAAGTACCATCGCGTGCATCAGATTATCGGCTTTGGATTACGCGTCTTTGAGGCTGTTCACACCGGCAGAGATTGCGCCCGCTAGACCGCGCTATCTCTGCGGTTTGGAAGGTACAACGTCGTTTCGGTCCGCCCAACAGCGAGCCACGGCGAGCCAAAACGGCGTGCCACTGGAGCACCTCTTGGGGGTGGTCCACGAGAGATAGCGCGGTGTAGCGCGCGCTAGAAAAAAAGGGGTGCTACGATAGACCGCGCTATCTCATTGCGGTGTGAACAGCCTCTTTGTATACAACAATCAGATTGGATTTTCTCGAGTAATTTAGCGATTTGTTTTTGCAAAGATTTAAATAACACGCGCTTGAACCAACCTTAATTAAATTAAATTAACTTGGCACACAGGAGATTTGTGGCTGGCACAATAGGGATTAGCACTGTGGCATTGGGTGCATTGTATGGGTTGCAGCTTAAGAGTTAAGAAGAATCTAAAAACATTTTTGCTCAAATCTTATACTAATATACAAGAATAATCTGATATTGGTTGGTAATCATCTTAATTTTTCATTTAGGTCTTCATCATCTGCTTGATTAATTTAATATTTATTTGGTCTTATGAATTTACCTTCCCAAAATTAACATTTATAACTACCCTTTTTTCGGTCATGGTTTGTCCTGCTTCTCCTTCCTTCTTCCCCCTTTTCCCTTTTTCTTCTTATCTGTTTTACTTCTCCTTGTTCGTTTCGTGTTTATACATTGTATGTTGTTTTGTAATATTGTCTTGTGTTTTCTAACTCTTCGTAGGCAAAATTTGAAACATTAAATTTTAATTTTTTCTGGGGGATCCACAAACTACAAGCACTGTTTTTTAGTGGATCCCCCACATTTCCTCAGAAATTAAGAATTTCTTTCAATAATTTTATTATTTGCAATTTTTTTTTTTTTCCAAAGTTTATTTGTATAGTTTCCTGAAAAATGAATTATGTATGAAAAAAAATGTAATATCTTTGTTTACCTTTATGTTGGAAATGAAAAAAAATATAAATATGAATATGAATATGAATATGAATATAAATATATTCATTTATATTCACTTGTCTGCACTATTTTCCCTTAATCTTATTTATTGGCAACTGCATGATTGAGTTTAACACATCACTCTCTGCGAAATTGAAAGCAAATGTGCTAGTTATATGTAGAATGTATCTTTTCTTAGATCAAGTGAACAATTCAACCAACGTTCTTCGAGCTGTCAAGGTCCTTTCTGAGCTATCGGATCAACCGAATGTTGTCAAGTGTCTAGGATATTGCCAAGAACAAGGTAAAAACACCTCATCCCGCAATTACAAAGCTTTTGATTGTCGCTAAAATCTTTACATATTCATGCATATGAGCATTTAATTCTAATAATTTGCAACGCTACCTAAGCTATCATCCCTAGAGGTGCAAAGCATTTTGAGTAAGCTTCGCGTCTGAATAACCAGAAACGATACAAATAGTAAAACAAGATTGTCTTGGAAGAACAATCAATTGTATTTGATAATTATTGAAGATGTTTTTCGTATACTATAACATGATGTCTGATAAAATACAGTGTTAAATATCAATGTGATTCAGTATTGTTTTCTATTGAATGATAGGTGGTATTCTGTATGAGTTCATCCCTGGGGGTACCCTACTCACCCATCTACAGACCACAGGGGTGCAGTCTCAACCCACATACGGCAATCTCAAACCAAAGAGGGTTCGTATCGATGAAGGTAGTCTACTCAACCTGGCTTGGCAAATTGCAAAGGGGATGCAGTATCTGGCATCAAAGAAGGTAACCTTATTTCATGACTTGCAATAGAAGAGAATTAACAAAGGGAAGGGGGAAGGGAGGGGAAGAGGACAGAGGGGATACGAGAAGGATGAGAATTACACAAATTGAAGAAGAAAGTTTAAAAATGGGAGAAGAGTAAGACAGTATGGTATAAGGATGGTTATGATGATCAAAGGTGAATCAAAAACATCCATTTCATATAATTGTGGATTTTATTTATTTATTTATTTATTTATTTATTGTTATCATTATGATTATCTATTTCTATTCTTCTTTACAAAGATCATCCATGGAACTCTCTGCGCTCACAATGTGTTACTAGGTGATAGAAAGCAATGCAAGCTATCAGATTATGGATTATCTTCATCACTATTTAGCAACGCAGGTGTGAGTATCACCCTATTTAATGATATATCATCAGCATAGATTATTTAATTATTATACCAATACTGGTATATTTATACGCCCTGATTATCAGAAATTTTATTAACCGTGGTGTTTGTTTCATTTTAAGCATATGCAATATTGTTTTTGATGTATTTTCAAATCTGCTTGTAAATTGTAAACACTTAAGCCATTGTCTGCCAATTACGGTTCGTTTTAAGCCATGAATAAAATGATTATTGACTCTAACTTAAAAGTGAATACAATTTAAAACCTTTTTTAAATACTTTCCAACATCTCAGAAACCAACAAGATGGAGTTCACCCGAAACCATGGTTACTGGCGACCAATCAACAGAAGGAGATAGCTGGTCTTTTGGTATCGTCTTGTGGGAAATTGTGACATTAGGTGAACAAATAATGTTTATATTGCATATAATTGAGTGTACCATCTTAAAGACCATGACGTTTTTTACGTAGGAAGCCTTATGGGCTTTATAGCTGTTCTTCATCAGGGCCCTCCTATTATTATTACCCTTGCCAGGTGGGCAGAGTGGGTGGAGAGTGATAAATATGGATAAATGTCTTGCCAAAGGAAGTTAGTGCCGAGCTGGGATTCGAACCCTTAAACCTCGGATTGAGAGTCAAGAGAATGGGACACTATACCACGACCCCTCCACCGTGTATCATATGAGCAAATCAATGCACTTAAATAATCAAAATAGATCATGACTAATACTTGTTTGATGCATTTTAGAGATGAAGAATTCAAGTCACTTGTTCCACTTTATTGATTGCATTATTCGTATATTCAAATACATGTCGCTGATATGAATAACATTTAGTCTAATTTATTCACTTAATTCCGCTTGTACTATCAAAGGTTGATGAGAAATTGTATATACATGTATATGATAAATATATATAACTTCTCTCCATAGCTTTAGATGTCACATATTCGTATTTTGGAAAAAATCGTGTTCTTGTTATTTTTCTTCGATTCTTAAAGGTGCGATGCCATACCCTAAAAAGACCATTGACACTGTCCAAAAGGAGGTTGCCAATGGTTACCAGATGCCATGCCCTCTCCATTGTGGACAAGAAGTGTAAATATTACTCTTTCAAGCGAATTGTTCTGTAAATGTCATAAGTTTACTCACTCGATGCTTTATTTATATTTGCTAGATTTCATGATGATGTTTTGTATCAAATGCAGATATGTTTCCAAACAATAAGAAATACGATTTCACTTGATTCTGCTATCTTTCCTTTGAATCTGATTCTGAAGCTGAACAAATAGGTCTGTAGCCGCCCCCTCCCCCAGTGGTAAAATTGCCTCCCGTCCTACATCCAAAATGCTCCTTCTGTATCCACTTTCAAAGTAATGTTAAAAACTCATCTGTTCAAATCCATATCATGAATTTTGTCTTCTCTAAACATGTCAAAATGAATAAATGATGTCGTACTACTATTTGTTAGGAAATAAGTCATCTTTACCATAATTTAAGTTAGATTAAGTTGATTTATTCATTTATCTGTAACAAACTGTAATTTTGTAACGTAAAATAGCGTAACATGTAAGCCTGGTGCTGTCGTCCCGGCTTTTATTACGTGTAAGGACATTGATATACTTAACACTAAAGAGGCCGGGCTATTTGACGTCTTAGTACGGCCGGGGGGAGGGGGGGGGGGGCATCATGCCCCATTAAGATTTCGGTCGTGAAGGAGCCGATCCCCGCGAAAATGTGCACGCATGTCAAGTGAAGTGTATAGAATAATATGATGATTCCAATTTTTTGAAAAATTCACTTATTTGCATATTTATGGTAATGTATGCAAATATTGTCATAAAAAAATCACATTTTACCCATAAATCATATATTATTCATATCTAAGCATTCTTTTATACTACTTATATTCATTAGACCATTTGGAATAAAAAATACGACAAAAAATTGGAAGAGCCAGCTTATTCCTTATGCTATCTCTTGTTTTGATAATTTCTAATAGGTATTTCATTGTTTCTTTAACTTCTGTATTTTATTGTTTTTGTTGTTTTATTTCATTTCTTACTACAATTCAACTATTTTGACTCCCAGAACAACCACCTAAACTTTAAACAACACCCAATAACCAATGTTTAATCTATTTTTAGGAAAAATGATATTTCCATATGTTTTGTACACAAATCACAAAAATTAGCGATTTTCGGGCTGACATGCAAAGACAAAACGTCACGTGACCTTGTAACTGTAGGTCCGATTTTCATTTTTGTTAAAGATGCGCAAGACTCGAAAGAAAAAAGTCAGTGAGCGGCGGGGCGCCATCCATATGCGTACCCGAGCAATCAGAACAATCGTAGAGGGGGGGGGGGCATAATAGCCCCCGGCCTTATTAGGGTTAAAGGCTGCTGTGACAACAGTACCACAGCGCCTAGAAACAATGTATTAGGCGCGTTATAAATGTGATTTATTATTAATAAACACTCAACAGAGTAAATGATAGAATGATAAAAACATAAATAACATAAGAGAAGGTGATATAATGAAAAACAAAGAATAACAAAAGGAACGGTAGGAACAAAGTGATATAACGATAAAAACAAAGAATAACATAAGAGAAGGCGATAGAAGGAAGAAACAAAGAATAGCATAAGGAAAGACAGAAAGAGAAAGTGATAAAAGGATATAAACAAAGAATAACATAAAAGAAGGTGATAGAAGAAAGAAAAAAAGAACAACATAAGAAAAGACAAAAAGAGAAAGTGATCGAATGATTAAAAAAATAAGGTGTAGTAAAACGCCTCGGACTGAGTGCGCACATAACATAATGAAACAATAGTGACGAAACTTCTGTTGCACATGAACTTTGAATTTGTCGAAATTTTGTATTTGTCTTTGTATTAGATTCAATTCGGTAGTTCTATTAGATTTCTATTAGATAAGGATCGACTCTTTTTCGTATCTTTCAGGTATTCGGTCATGTCTGGTTGTTGGGAGAAGGAAGCTACACGTCGGAGTAACTTTGATCAGATCCTCAAGAGTTTGGAAAGGATTCTAGAAAAGACTCATGTAAGATGTACTCAAATTGTCTTCTTCTAACATATCTAATACATCATTTAGTTTCCTTATTACATATCCACTTGTATAATTCCGCTAGTACATTAATCTCAGTTCACTAAGAAGGTGTAATGGAAACAATTATAGCCTTGACCTTTTATGATCTTTGCAATTTTTGTGATTAATAACTTTTCTTTTAGTTAACTGATTTGCCATATCCTTCATATTAATATTCATGCTTTTTAAATTCATTTAAATCAAATAATCATATTTTGCTTATTTCCCTTTTTAATAAAATTATGAAAACAGAATATTACATGACAAAATTCGATCTTCATTTTAAACATGAACATGATAATGTGAGAGTAATTCATTGCGGTCGACCTTCGGTGTTGATTGGCAGTGTCGTGGTCTAGTGTATACGTCACCGGATCGAGGATCACATGATTAGTTGTTACAGTCCCGCCGTGGCACTATGGCCATTGGCTAGATATTATTCAATATTTGCCACTCTCCACCCGGGTGTAAAAAATGGGTACTTGAAACGAAGTTATTCCTTGAATTCTTTCAGCGGTTTAGCCAGTGTAACAACAGAACTTCGCATCTACCGTCCCCTGGGTTGATATATGTGAGGTATTAATGAAGCTATCGTTAGTATCTTCATCATTATTATCATTATTATTGATATTATTATTAGTGTTGTTGTTGTTAATGCTATTATTTTTGCCATTACTATTCCGCAAAACAGGATCAAGTCCGTATTTTTTTCTTGAAGATTTAGTTTTAACAACAAGCACGATGTGCTATCAAGAGCGACTTTATACATGCCTATGCTTTTTTTTATTGTTCTGCTGTCTTGCCAATATATCTGTCTTCTGCAGGTCTTAGACGTGTAGATTCGGGGAGATCTTGGTGATGATGAGACACCTTTAATTCCCTCTTCATCACGAGTGTGTGTCCGATGATTTTTGGAGTCATCTCTACTTAGGCTTTCCACATTCTCTCTATCTCTCTTTCCATGGGCATAAGGGGTGGGCACCTCGATAATTGAAATTTCCTATCTTATCTCATAATGATGTCTGACTTTTGTTATTATTATTATTAGTATCATTGTTATTGGTATTATTATTGTTGTTATTACTATTACCTTAATTTCTTTTGATTTTCACAGAATTACCTGTCTCTCAATGACTTGGATGAAGGATTGTATGCGTCTACACTTGACATGTGAAATTACACCTTGTTCGGATATGCAGTCATACTACATTACGTCTACATCTTTTATTTTGTACAAAGCAGATCCGAGCCAACTAACTGGGACTACGGGGATATTAGAGGGATATTATAGGAAATACATTTTGTTAAATTTAGCCAAGAATGCTGAATCAGGCTATCGAATATACTTGTTTGAATTCTGCATCATAACTCTGCTTTTTTATAAAAAAAATTTAGGGATCATTTAGTAGAAATTTGTAAAGTAGTTACTTTAAAAAGATAAGTTGACAATGTCTAGAGGTGCAGCTATCCTAGAAAACATGATATTTGTGAATATCACGAGGTCCTAGTAGCAACCGATCTCATACATTTAACAACTCATTCTTCTAATTGTCTGTCAGTTATGTTGTGTATATACTGTGTAAAATTTACTTGTAATTTACCTTGCAACGTTTGCCAATGTTCGTGTTATTTCATAGTATTGTTGTGTGTGGATCACCTCCTACCCCCTTTCTTCTTTCTTTTCATCACCCACTCTCTCCCTCCTTCTCCTCTCTATCCTTCTCTTTCCCTCTGTTTCTATTCTACCTTTCTTTCTCCTTTTTTCTGTCCATCCATCTCTCTCTCTCTCTCTCGCACAAGTCTCACCTCCTCTTTCTTTCTTGCACTCTCAGTCCTCCTTATCAATCTGTCCCTCCCATCTGCCTTCTTAAAATCATGCAGCTTGCCTCTACCACACTTTACCTTTTACGGTCATCATTTAAATCACACTATACTATTTTGAACCTTCATCTATGCATTTAAAACTTACCTCTCATTTAATAGTAGACTCACCTGTATATATTACACTCATGAGTGCTTTACAACTGGATATAGATTGTTTTTATGTATTTCTATGATCCTTCTTAGTGTATTATTTATCATGTAGATACTTTTGCAAAAATATTTTATAATTTAGCCACCGGGCTGCAATGCATATTCCTTTAAAATCAAGACATTTATTATCATTATACTTTAACTCTCGATTTAAACTAAGTAGCCTCGCGATGCCATAGGCTGAGCTGGCCTTACCCCATATGTATATGTATGTTGGAATAACATTTCTTACCTATTTTCATGAGATAATTGTGATAGTATCATTTATTCTTGAAAGATACAGTTTATATCTTCTTAGAACTTTATTGATTAATCTAAGGGTTCATAAAGATTCATCAATACAGTTATGAGAATTTATCAAGAAAAAAATATACTGTTACAATCTTTTCATGGAAACACGTAATAAAAAAATATTCAAAACTTCATGAGCAACAGTGTTTGTATAGTCATGTGCATGTATGAAGGTGTATTTTGCGTTAATTATAAATATGAAGGGTATGTGTTAAGGTCTATGTTACAGTAAATGGGCTAAGGTCATGCCAATGTTTGTAGATGGTAAAATGTCGCCTAATTGTCAATAGGTTTCGTGTGAATTATTCACCTATTTCTTTATTTGCACATTCTCTTCATACAGAATGAATATAGTGTGTTACATATTCAACGTGTTTTCATACAAATCTTAGCACTTACTAAAAATAGAAAGTAACTGCCAGTCTAATTTATTTCTGACCATATCATTCTGGATTGTACATTAAGTTATTTTACAACGCAAACAAATTGTAAAAAGATAAAAGAGAATCTGTATTGAAACATTTGTTTGAAAGCGAAATCAGAGATATTAGGGTTAGATACAGGTGTCCTGTTAATACAACATGTAGGGTTTCATATATATATATATATATAATACCCTACATGGTACATTAAGTGGTCTTTATAAAAATCCTAACCCTAACACTAACCCTAACCCTTACCACAATGTCTACTTGATGACTATTTTTTTCACTCCAAATATCCCTCCAATGACACCTTTAGTAATATTACATATATAGAAAGGGATAAATATAACAAAATTGGGCCTTCAATGAGAAATAAAACATACAACCCGTTAAGAGGACACCGAATTTTCCTCCTAATGACAATGTCTACTTAATGAATCATTTTTTCACTCCAAATGCCCCTCTAATGACGCCTTTAGTAAAATATACATGTATATAAAATATATTCTCCCTATGTTTTTTATATAATCTCTATCCTTCATTTACATCGCGAACCTAAAGTGTAAGCATACTATTGCAATGGATTAAAGGAAATCACCATATTCTTGTTTATAAGCTTATTTGGTAAAGAAATTTGATTGTATTTGATATTGCCCGTGAGGCACTATTATTCTTGAAATATTACACTTTATTTTACCTTTGAGAGTGATGATTTAAATAAAAATAACGATAATTTGCCAAATGATCATGATGTCAAATCAAAGGTATGGACCAGGTATGGTCATGCAATTGAATTGTAAAAGAAAAGTTGTGGAATCGACCAGAAAAGGTTGATCATCTAGCATATAAGTATTGGTGTGTACTGCAAGGTTCTAGAATCATCATAATGATAAGAAATTTGGCCCAGTCTTGGTAAAGTTACAAGCACTGTACACAGAAAGATGTTTATGGGACTACGCGATATCTATCCAGTCCGAATAGATATAATAATTTACCAAATATATAAATTAGTAGGCGGTTTACCCGCAAAATTTGTATCATCACGTATAAGTCAAAACATATTCTTTCATACGATTGGTAATAAGAGTTTTTTGAGAGGGGGGCGTTTCCAAAACTGGTGTATTCCTTTAATGACTAGGCTTATTTAAAGTCTACAATATTTTTTAAAGGGTTTATAACATTGATTAAATCGAGGAAATATTTCTGCTACCAAATGTAAATATTGCAAAAATACAGTAAAATAAATGTGATAAAAGCAGTTTATTTAGTATTAGTTTCATTTTTATCTGCCTTCAAAATGGATTCCCTGATATAACATGTTTGTTTTATGAAGACCATAACAAAATATGCACGAAAAATAATAAAGGTTTCTAATAAAATAACTAGGGTTTCTGTAGTTCATATTATAAGCATAACTACAATAGCAATGAGGGCATATCGTAATTATGTGAGAACTTTATGATATAAGGCAGAGCTTTTATTCCATAATTCCCCTGGCCCTATTGGACTACACGGTCAGAGGCATACATATATTGGAAGGAGAAACATAAAAAACTTAAAAAAGTTATAAGCGGAATGAACGAGAGGGAGAGAGAGGGAGAGAGTGAGAGATGAGCAATGAGGAAGGTTGTTCAGTTTTTTTAAACATGACATATTTTTATTGCATTCTATTGCAACAGAAGTGGTTTAGTGGTGTAGTGGATAAGGCCCTGGACTGCCAATCCCATGGTTCGTGGTACTAGTCCTGACGCGGCTCTTATTACCTTTTGCAAGACATTTGTCTCAATTTGCCACCCTCAACCCAGGTGAGATAAATGGGTACCGGCTAGGAATACATTCCTTGAAATGCTAGAGCGCCATAATGGCAGCCATGCTAAAGCAGGGGGTAGTAATTGTGGAGCGCCAGGTTTGTCATGTCTGGCAGAAGTAAGGGCTATACGAGAAACCACTATTGTTATTATTATTATTTTTAATTATACCTGTTATCAGGTAGAAATTTCGGAGGGGGGGGGGGGGGGGGGGGGGGGGGGGGGGTAAGCGGACACTTTTGTTTGGTCTCAAAATTTCAAAATTTGACATTTTTCTTCGTTGGGGGGGGGTAAGGTCACCTTATTTAGGTTAGCCGTTGGGATAATTTTTTTTTTTTTTTTTTTTTTTTTTTTTAAATAAAAAAAAAAATAATAAAACAAACAAAAAACAAAGGGGGGGGGGGTTTAGTTTTTTTTAGGGGGTTTTACATACATTTAAATTCCAAAAGGGGGGGGGGTTTGAACCCCCAAAACCCCCCCCCCCCCCCCCCTGCGTACGCCCCTGCATAACATTATATCTCCCGTAAAGCCTGGGTATATATATGCTAAAGTGAATTGTAAACATAAATTGCTGTGATCTGTTCATGCAATCTCAATACAGCCCCGTGCTCCTCCCCTTTGGCGGCTAAAAGGCAAAAAGAAAGAGAAAAGCGGAAACATTTACTTGAAACAAAAACCCTAGGTATGGGTTAGAGTGTTTTTACTGCATTGCCCACCATCCAGTGGCGTATGCGTAGGCACACTACCTTTCCGCCGGGGCAGTCCACGGACTTCCCGGTGTTTATTTTTCTTTCCAATTCCTCCTACTTCCTTCTCGATTTTGCCAGATGTTTACACTTTTCTTCTTGAATCCCTCTTCCCCTTGATATTGCCATACTATGCTTGTCATAGGAACCCCCCCCCCCCCCGCGGGTAAGCCACTGCTATCACAAACGGCTAAGTGTTGCTGTACCAGAAGTTATGCAAAATATTAGCATTACGATGCGTTGCGTCGTCGCGTGCTGCTCAACGATTGTGGCGCGACCTCAGCGGTGCCGACATATACATTTAAACTTGAAATGCAATGACTTTGCGGTGAATCGCGGCAGAAAATAGTCGATGTACCGGCAAGCAAAAAAAATCGTGTACTGCAGATGTACCGTTGCGTTTCAAAATGCTTGCGTCTGAGTATTAAAGGGATAGTTGAGTTTGTTGCAGAGGGCGCTACACAAAATAATTTTGTTGTGAGATAATGAACAACTGAGTTTCAAATATGAAAGAACATAATATTTAAATGACAAAATTATCTTTGTTTGATTAAAATCGGTTTAGAGAAGATTGAAAAATAACGATTTTTCTAAAACTTGTGTACCACCCAAATTTTTAGATATTTTGACAAATAAAAAAAAAAACGGTTGAAAAAAAGGAATAACGCCTTTTACGTCGTATTTCAGCCAATTTCGATGTTGGCTATTTTGTTGGCATTTTCGTGTTGCTTATATTACGCACAACCAGCCGGCCCTTGTATTGTTATTTTTAATTAAATAATTAATTAACTGTCACAATGTTTTTTTGAAAGTGGAGCTGAATTGGTATGATCGTATTGGCTAAATTTTACACATTTTGGGGTCTAAAATTACCTTCATAGCACTTTTAGGTTATAAAAGGGCACAACCATCCACTTTGAAGGCATTTGCGGGCTGGGAACAGAACTCAACTATCCCTTTAAGTTTGGCATGGAGGGATTAGACCTCTCTGCAAGGTCACTTCCAGGTGGTTATCTCATCAAATCAGCTCTCAATTAACATAAGAAAGAGGGCATCATGGGGAACATAGGCATTGTTGGCTGTATAGAGGGCGCAA